TTGGTGTATAACATCAGTGCATCGCCTACTGCCTGCTCTCCTTGTTGTAAGTAATAAGAGGGTGTATGAAGATAGATATGAAATGGTTGACAAAGTAAATATGAGCTGTCAAACTGATGAGACTGGTTCTGTCAGAAGATGAAAGTCTTTTGGTTTGGGCTGGGGTTTTTTTGGGGGCTAAATGGCTGTTCAAAATCTCAGTATGTTATTGCACAGTGCATGCACACAACAAAAAGACTATACTATCTGCCCCCTCCACCTTCACTTCAAGAGCCTGGAAGAGCTGTCTTCACTTCTCCAACCTATTTATTTGGCCTCTTCATAAGCTCCATTAAGGATGTTTAGATCATTCCCTAGTTTGTAGAACTTCACTTTTTATGTTGAATACAACATAATCCTGAAATAATTATCTTCATATGGCTCTTGAAAATAGTCTGAAAATAGTGCTGCCAGTGTCAGTTACAAAGTACCACAGAGTTAAAGTTGTCTCTGTACTACTTTGTCAGATACTTTTGGAACTATGTTTTGGTGCAATTTTAAAAGTATCCTTTATATACAAAAGGATTTATAATCATAGAATCATTTAGGTTGGAAAGGATGTTTAAGAACATCAAGTCCAACCATTAAGCTAACACTGCCAAGTCTACTACCAAACCATGTCCCTAAGCGCCATATCTACACGTCTTTTAAATCCCTACAGGGCTGGTGACTCCACCACTTCCCTGGGCAGCCTGCTCCAGTGCTTGGCAACCCTTTCCGTGAATAAATTTTTCCTAATATGTAATCTAGACCTTCCCTGGTGCAGCTTGAGGCCATTTCCTCTTGTCCTATTGCTTGTTACTTGGGAGAAGAGACTGACCCCCACCTTGCTACACCTTCCTTTCAGGCAGTTGTAGAGAGTGATAAGGTCTCCCCTGAGCTGCCTTTTCTCCAGGCTAACCAACCCCAGCTCCCTCAGCTGCTCCTCATAAGACTTGTACTCTAGGCCCTTCACTAACTTTGCTGTCTTTCTTTGGATGTGCTCCAGTGCCTCAATGTCTTTCTTATAGTGAGGGGCCCAAAAGTGAAGACAGTATTCAAGGTGTGGCCTCACTGGTGCCAAGTACAGGGGAAAGATCACTTCCCTGCTCCTGCTGGCCACACTACTCCTGATATAAGCCAGGATGCCATTGGCCTTCTTGGCCACCTGAGCACACTGCTGGCTCATATTCAGTTGGCTGTCAACCAGCACCCCCAGATCACTCTCTAGCAAGCAGCTTTCCAGCCACTCATCTCCAATCCTGTAGCATTGTATGGGGTTGTTGTGACCCAAGTGCAAGATCCAACACTTAGCCTTGTTAAACCTCATGCAATTGGTCTCAGCCCATCGATCCAGCCTGTCCAGATCCCTCTTTAGAGTCCTCCTACTCTCAGGCAGATCAACACTCCCACTTGGTACCATCTGCAAACTTACTGAGAGTGCACTTGATCTCCTTGTCCATATCATTGATAAAGATATTAAACAGAACTGGAATTTACTGCATTTAAGATACATGTAACTAAGACTGGGTAAAAATTGTTGTGGTATGTACAGAAAACTCCTTTCCCATACTTACTTTAATGTCTGGATGAACAACAGTGTCTGAGGTGACACTGAAAATAGGGACATGAATTTGGTAGATGTATATATGTTCTGAAAAGCGGGACAGTATGTGTATAAGATACTAAACTGGCAGCCTGAAGTGAAAATGCTAATGTATAAAGAAATAAGGGAATTGACTGTTAGAGTAATCAGAAAATAAAATGTTCTAATTCTTGCTTTGCATAACTAACAGGCAATTAACTTTCATTGACTCATGATGTGAATAGAGATTGAGAGATGTAGATCCTTTGCTTTGGTAACAGTCTGTCAGCTGGGAAGAATGTTTTCCTTGACAGTTGATTAGGGGTTAAATGAGCTGAATAAAATTGGTAACTTTTTACTTAGTATAACAGCTATTATATGAAGCATTTTTCCTTACATTAGTTGTAACGACTGACTTTAACTGATTAGCCCTGTTGGAAGAACTGGTTTTGATTGACAAAGATGTCATTTTGGTATTCTCAAGATCTGAAAAAAACCCCCAGCTGATTCATATAGAACCTGGATCAAACTGTTTTTATTTATTGACTTGGATAGGTTTGGATCTGCTCTTAAGCAAACTACTTCTCCTAGGGAAGTACGTGCCTGGTCATGCAATGGCTTAGATGGTGAAGAAAGGAGCAAGAGCATCTCATACCTCCATAAAATGGTACCTGTTTGTATCTATGGGGAACTACATTGCACCCCAGGAGTGTTACCTCAGCTCCTGCAGACCAAGCAGGCATCACCTCACAGCAGATCTGTAAAGCCACAGGCTCCAGTCATTCCATTTTGTAAGAGTTAATGCTCCCCAAGTCACCAGGCCCACCAGGGGATGTTGGCCTGCTCCTGCTCCCTGAGAGTGGCATCAGTCCATTTGGTACTTACTGACTCTGTAAAAAAAAAGTAGCTGGGAGAAGAGAGCAGTGGGAACAGGGAAAAGGATCAACCCTGAAAACCCTTGCACTGAGCTCTAACTCTTAGTAAGGCCTTGTGTAAGCAACAGATGTGGTTAAACTGGTGCATATGCATAACTGCCACAGTGTGGTTCCCGAAAGGACTGGGCCTATTTCTTTTCAGAGGAGGTAAAAGCAAAGGTGAGGGGGATTGCTGTGGAAAATGGTTACATCAAACAAATATGGTTATAGGTTTGGGGTGCATTTTGGTTTGTTTTATTTTTGAGCTGTTTCTCCTTATATGCTTAGGAACTTAAATTGTTTCATAGCATAATGTTTTTTCATTTGTGGATTTACTTCCTCTCACACCTTCTTCCTCTCCCCACGCTATACAGTTTAAGGTCTTATTTAATGATCTTTAGTCTACAAGAGGCTTGATTTTATGGCCAGCTTAGAAGTAGCTCATGAATGTAAAGTTAAAGTATACCTTCTCTCTCCAAATGAAAACTTGAACCATGGCTCTAACACAACTGGCTTGAAGACTACTGATGTGTAGGTAACTACTTGGAGTCTTTGCCATGGCATAGAAACTAGTCCATGTTTTGTCAGAGAATGTTGTTTTTGAAGATAAATTATCAGTCTCCTTGGGAAAGCAGGGTAATAGTTCATCTAGAGGTGGAGAATTCATCTACTGGAGCACTGCTGGCTGTGACTATCTTACAGCAGACCACACTGATGAAAGCAGCTTTTCACAGCCCCTCAAAAAGTGCTGTGCTATTACACTTGCAATACTCTGAAGTTTATGACTGTGCTGAAGTCCTAGAGGGAAATGTCTTTCCAAAATTTTAGATCAAAAGAGAAACACTAGAACATCAACAGGAAATAAAACATTTTTATTGAATATCTGTGTAATATGTATGTTATTTTTAACGACAATTGGAAAACTCTACTGTGGGAAGTCACTACACAAAGTGAAACAAAATATAAACCACCTCATCAAAAATGAAGGTAAAATACGGCTAAAGTTGTCAGCTCGCGGGCCACGAGCGATATGGCAGGATAAAACACCCCAAACATTTCTACAAGATACAGAGAAAACCCACACAGAGAAACACTCAAGCAGGCAGTAAATATACACAAAGGCAACTAGGATCTTTCTACAGCATCAGATTCTAATACTTCACACAGCTTTGTCAGAAAGGTACATGTGGCTTCTTTGAGGATGAAATGTCATCTTGGTCACACGGCAGGTTCAGTCTCTGAGAATCATTGTGCCTTACAGATCAGCTCTAGGGTGACGGTCAGTCTGGCAGTGTAGGAAGAGAAAGCATTAAGAATACCTTAACATGACGAGTTAGTCCTGGCAGTTTGAACCTGCACCTATCCTGAATGAACAACTGAAAGTTGGAGACCATGAAGCTCTTACGCTGGAAAGCTGACTCTCTACTTTTTCTCTTTGGTGGTGTTTGGTCCTTAAGATTTTAAAGTATTCCAGCTTGATGCTTTGCATGTATGCGCCTGTCTCTGTCAGAAAATGTCTCACTTGTGTTTTTTCCATGTTTCGTGTAAAAAAGAAAAAAAAATGGGTCTTGCTACTCTCACTTTTGGAGGTGGAGAGAGATCCGGACTTTTATTCTCCTCCCACTTCTCTCCTGCTTCTTTTAACCCTAGTGTACTGAACTCACTGGTGGTTGGCCATGGCTGCACTGCGGTGGGGTTTAGGTTTCAGTACACAGTTCTCTCATTATATTCATCTTTGCTTTTAGTTTTCAGTAATTTCTGTTAGGCGCAGTTGCTAAGAACCCTAATGGTCAATTCTCATGCCTCCCTCCAAAAGGTATAGCATTTCCACATTTCTGGGGTTGCTTGCATTGCTGAAAATAATGAACTCTTCAAAGCATTATAAATATATTCACAGCTTGGAAAGGTAAGCAAGGGGCCTCGAAGGACGGTATATGAGATAGAAGTGATGCCCTAAATGACTTGATGAGATGGTACAAGCTGAGATGACATGCTGGCTAGCCATAAGATGACTATCTACAGTAAAGCAGCGGGGGGCGAGGGCGAGGGAGGGTGGAAATGTTGAGTATTGCACAGGGCTTGACAAAATGCTGCGTGGTCATCCCATTCAATATAGCATCCTTGTCCCCTGCATAGCTCTTCAGTTCTAAATTGGTCCGTAATAACTAGAACTGCTTGTGCTATGCGTTCCTTCGGCAGTGCAGTAGAAGGGAATGGCAGTATTATTACAATATCACTACGGAATAAATTGATTGCTATCCACTGAGAAAACTACATTTCTAAGCACACACGGCAGTCACAGTGATACACAGAGCAGTCTTTCAAGACTCTTATGGAATGACTAATAGCTTCATAATAGTGCCATTTACTACATAATAACATTGAAAACATTTAAAAACTCCTCCTGAAACGAGCATCTAGTATACAGAAGAGGTTGCTTCAGTTTTTCTAGAACTTGTTCTTTGTTTTCACTTTTTTTTTTTAAAGGACAAATTAAAACTTAAGTATAAATAGTATATAAAAGGTCACTAGCTGTTCTCTTTTGGCTTACTTTGAAGTGCATTTAGAACTATGGCTAAATTTTGTCATCTTCTGATGGGATTACAATACTGTCTGTTTACCATGAAACTATTTTGTATAATAAACTCACACGGCTGTGTCTAAAAAATATTCTGCATTCCTTCTAATCTGAGTTAGTATAATAAAATATTTTGTTACAAAGTCTAATGTGCAAACTCATTATAATGTGAAATCGTGGATGGAATTCACAGTATGCAAATTTTGTATAAAGGTGATAATGGAGAGCTACTCCTGTTTTCATGGCAGCATTTCGCTACTGCTGCGTCTCCCCCCTCCCTTCCCCCCCTCCCTGCACAACCTCTGCAACGCTCTTACTTTGTGTGTTAGCTGACAGCGTTGCCTCCTATGGAACTGCTTCCTCAACTTTCAATCTAAAGCCATTTCAGTCTGTTATGTGTTTGCTTTGGAATATATACAAAAAAATTATATCCTGGCTTCTGGCTACGTCTCCTTGAGGTCAGCCATGGAGCTGCTCAGATCATGCTAAGTTGCCTGTGAAAGAAGTCTACCCAATTGGATTTGCCCCTCCAAGATTCACTGTGGACGCGTAGCGTGTCATTAGGATGGTCCGGTTGAAAGCTCAGATTTAAGTTGTCCTTTAAGATGTCAGTGTAACACTACTAGTGCCTTACAAGTTGGAATTTTTTTTTTTTCTGGAATGCAGACGATACAATAGTTACCCTATAATATATTATCAGCTCTCCTATATCTCAGTCAATTTACATAATTTAAAATAGAACATCTTATTAAAAACATCTAGATATACACAGATTAGGAAACGCTTACAACATACAAATACACAAACTAGAAATAAATTCTCAGCATACTGGTGTATATATACAACTGTGTGATACAATAAATAATTTCTGTCATGCTCTATCTACACATCATATTGCTTAAAAGAAGAGTAGATCTGGGGGGGGCAGTGGTGAAATGAAGCGCCTTTAGAGGGCTCTCTACATTTAAATTTGTGCAAATTAAAATGGGAATTTAAAAGTACAACTGATCTGTGTCAGGAACACATGGCTGGAAATGAAAGGACCCATATTACTGAGGTATTTACAGATACTGACTAAAGAGCACTATGTGGGCAAATGCAGAAAGGCTTCTTCTTCTTCTTCTTCTTTTTCTTCTTCATAATTTAATTGAATTTAATTTACTTCTTGACTGCCAGCATGGCATCTACCTCCTCCTCAGGCTGTAAAGTGTGCCACTGTGCGATGGGCCGCCGAGGGTTGGCCAGCATGTCTGACCAATGCCGCAGCTCTGCGCCGGTGCTGTTGTAGCCCACAAAGACTTTCCCGATGGCATCGTTCTTGCCAATCTTGTCATAGTCCAAAACAGTCACAACAATTTGCACTTTCTACAATGAGAGAGAGAGAGAGAAAGACCAGTGACTGTTATAGCAAGGAGAAGGTGGGCATGGATAAATCTTGGGACAGACAATGCCAGTGGGGACTCCATGTACATGAAGAGGGGTCAGTGTGTGGCAGCCAGAGTAGGTTCTCCCAGCAAAAAAAAAAATTAAAAACTTTTGTCTTTGCTTCTTGTGAGCCTTCCAAATAAAATGAAGTTCACAACCCCCCTGCTGACTTGAAATTTGCCCCGTTTCATCAAAGAGCTTCATATGGGAATTGAGGTTGACTTTTTTCCTTTAACAGATTAACAACCTATGGATTATTTTGTTGTTGTTAATGAAGAATCAGACTGCTAGAAGTCTGTAGGGCTAAAAGTGAGATCTTAAGGTAAGCTAAGTCAAAAGTAGTGCAATTGAACACATCACTATTCTTTAAGTAAATAAGTAAAAAATAGCTAAAATTCAGATATGGTTCTACTCCAAGTTAATGTTTGCAATGTCATAATTCTATTAATTGCTTTTCTGCTGCTAAACAACTCTTACCCATCCATCCAGCATGCTAATCAGTTATTTTCAGATAAATTCAGAAGACAGCCTTGCAGTTGCTATATACATATATGCATGTGGACTCATCTGCATGTGTGTGTTTGCATGCCCACATCTAAGTATGTATATACTGTGTGTATTATATAAGTTTATACAGGAGCCAAGAAAACCAGCTGCGTGTTCAGGGGAGCTGGAAAGAAATATAAATACCCCCCTGTCTTGGGGCTCTGACACACCGGTGCTGCCTGTGATTGAGCCGGTGTTGAAGTGCCACTTCTGCTGTAGGAATGGTGACCTCTGGCAAACAGGGCTCACCTACTCCCACAAAATCTGCACGGGCCCATCTGTCACAGCTGGTAGACAATTTCCCATTCACTTCAACTGGGGCACACTGGGAGGTGATGTTCAAGCCAGGCATTTGCGTATGCACTTGCATGCACATGCCCACATTCCTCTCCATCAGGTCATTAATATTTGTCAGAACAGCTGTTCCTTCAGTGGAGTGGTGTTCTTCCCCAGTAGCACTTAAGACATTAACAGCCTTGGGCTGATTTTACTAAACTGTAAATACTTCTCCTTAGGGAGCTTTATTTTTGAAGATGAGCATACAGTTCTTGTCTTGATTCCTTTCCAGCCCATGGTAAATACACACAGCCCCTCATTCCAGTGTGAGTTTCCTGACCTGTAAGAAGAAAGGCCCTGAAACATATTTCTTCCAGAAATATCTTTTATTCTCAAGCATCAGGTTTTTTAAATTTAAGGCTTGTACAATGTACAATCTGGATTTCTTACTGGAATGATTAGTTTCAGTGCTTATCTTTTAAAAGTAACTAACACTTTTAAGCAACACCAGACTCATGTGGTCTATTTTATAGAGTCCATACCCTTACAAGACTGTACAATTCACTGAGCCAGAGAAAAAGATGATGCCAACAGGCACTAAAGTATTTATATAGTTGCTGATGACAAAAGTGTACATCAAACTCAACACTCTCTCTCCCCAGAGCACTCATGATAAAAGGCAATATCCTGAAGCAAGTATTTCTAGATGCCAAAAAATCACATTTCAGTGTTGCTGTTTCCAATATACTCACTTTTAATGTTGATGGTACCTCCCCAAATGAACATTTACGTTTTAGATGCGTGGTACAATCACAGATATAAAAAGTAAGCGTGAGACTATTATTTTACAGTATAAAAAGAAGTTGCTTGCTCTACCTAGAAGCTTGGGGGTAGTTACTATTGGCTTTTTTTTGGTGTTAATCATAAGACAACAATGAGCATGGTAAACAAAAGGGCCTTTTCCTGGCTCAGTAAAGATGTAAGAACAGCTAGCTCAGATGATTAACTCTGAAATTATTTTCACCTCATGAACTCTGGCTTAAACCTACAGAGAAATGCGAGCATCTCTTTGCCTTTATACCATGTATCAAAGGAAGACCTGCACTGCAAAACCCAACAGGTGCTAGTAGAAAGCACCACCTTTGCTAATAAACACTTGGATTAGCAGTTTCATTACGATTAGGCACTCTTTGAACTGAAAGGGCCTGGAGATGCTGCCACCTACAGAGACTATCTGTCTTGAAAACAGCAAAACACATGCTTGCTCTGTCTGTAGCAACAGAATTTGACTTCCTCATGGTTTTCTTCCACTACCTTTCAAGACTTTCTTCCCCTTAAGAGCCAGAACTCATATTCACTATTTAGTTTTTGAAAATGTTAATGTTTGGCCTATTTTAAGCTAGATAGGTGTGCTGCTATTGAGCTGCTTACCCTTCATGATCTCCCTTGTTTTTCCTCTCTAACCATCATGAAATATGTATAATCATTATTTTTTATTTGATTGTGAAAGTTTGCTTACTGGCTTTTACATAAATTACCCAAAAGTCACAGTGATTCTTACCCCATTAAGTCTAAATAACATTTAAAATGTGCTTTGCTAATGATGAAATCACTTCCGTAACTGTAATGAAATAATCTCTAATTATAGTCTTTTATAACTACAAAATACATTGGCATATGACCAAAGTCCATAATTACAGATTTTTTAATTGAGGCTATATATTGAAGTAAATAGCTATAAAGTCATTCTAATAAACTTATCAAAAAAGTGCAAAATACTAAACTGCTTTTAAAGGGTCTATATCCACCTTACAAAACTGACTTGGGATTAGAAGACAAAATAGCCAAGTAGCTTGATAATGTGCCCAATTCAGTTCCCCAGTCCTGTCCCTATTTGGAAATCAAGACATTCGGTGCCCAAATTGCCAGAAAGGCTCGATTTGATTGATTTTTTTTTTGCCTCTGGGTCTTTGATGCTTGTTATGAGATTTTTCACAAACAGACAGACTAGCTTTCATTAAAATCAATGGGAATTAGGCCCCACAGGATTTCCTCCTTTTTGATTCCCAGAGTCCACAGACACCAGTACACGCTGTGGGGCATGAAGAAACTCCTAAATGGGCTAGTCATACATCCAAGTTACTATTCCTACTGCCTCACCCTGTCTAGGTTTTATTATCTTTGTGGGTACCAAGATCATAAAAGCCAAGCACATAGTGTTAGTTGAAATGTAGGCCTTGGCTCCTGGGCTTCTCTCCAGTATAGTTGCTATCAAAATCCAAGACACAGAGGCTCAAACCCTATAACATGCTCTCATCTAATCAAGAGGTGTCTGTGTGTCCCTATTGCCTGGGTTTTTTTCCTGGCAGTGTCTTTTGGCTCCAAATTTGGCCCAAACTATTTAAAGCCTCATAGAAGCAATGCACCTAACTCCTACTTAGAGATCTCTTAGAAGCCGATGAATGCTCTAACAAGTGAGCAAAAGAACAAAATGGTTTAACACTAATAGTAAAGGATAAAAGGAAATGGAGGTGGCCTGTACCAACCGATCTTTATGTGGTTTACATTACCTAAATCAGACCAGAGACCAAAGCCACTCCATTTCCAAGCAAACCACCCAACAAACAGATGATCTTATGCTCTGTGGCCAAACATATAGTTATTATTAATGCAGAAATGATGTTGCACTCCCAGCACAAGCTATAGGCAGAGGTGACAAGAGTATTTGCTTAAGACATTAAAGAAATTCACTTATGGAGGGGAGTGAATTGGATGCAGGTTTCCCCTGCCCTGAGATGCCTTCTGAGATGGTTAAGAAGACCTCTCTTGTGAAAAAAAGCTAGTTAACATCAGAAGACATTAAATCTCACTCCCATGAGTGACAGATGATTTGCTTCCCAGTAGCCCAAAGGCAGGTAACTGAGTCCCCCAAAAAAATGTCATGATGCCTTGTCCTGGTATTTTCCATATAGGTGACTTCCAGCTCACTATGCTGACCTCTGAGGCCCCTAATTTTAGGCACTGAACTCTCTCGAGGAGTAGCACCTAGAGAACTGCTGGAGCTCCCTTGAGGTGCCAAGAAAACAGGCACTGCAGTACTGACCCCTGAGATTCTCAGATTTCTTTTTCCAAGGAACATAGGAATCACCAAAAATGTTTTCATGGTGTGGTGTATAACTGAAAGAAACTGACTGAATTATGCATGTGTTTCACTTAAGAGGGATGCTGCAGTACCTTCAACAAACAGGACCGATAAATGCACAGGGAACACAAATGTGCCTGATAATTTGGGGAAAATTGCTAGATAAGCCTTTTCTTTTATCTCTGTACTTTTTTTTCCTAGCACATTCCTTTGCTACCTCCCTGTGGATTTTTTTTTTGTCAAAATCCATTTCTGTTAACAGAAAATGTCAGTTATCCATTTCTCACTGATGAATCAAAGCTTCATAAGTACTGTGCATTTTATAATCTCTCTCTTGAAGCAGTCACACTCATCTCATGTAGCACAGGGCAGACACCCAGGTGCTAATGAAGGCATGCACACGTGATAATTAACAAGATTCCTGTTAAATATTTATAAGGGCTGAGAAATGGAATGCATAGGGAAGACAAAACACTGTTTGACATTACCTGAATTTGCTCGAATGGTACTTCAAAGCTGAAAGACTCATTGTAGTAGGGATTCAGAGTGTTCTTTTTAATTGTAGTCTTTTTCTTCTTCAGCCTCTTACCGTTCTGCATCAGATGGATCTTCACATAGGGATCTACGTAATCAAGAGAAGAAGTAGAGCTAAGCAACGCATTATCTACAGATTTTAATCCCTGAGATTGAAGACTCAGTAAGAAAAATAAAAATCTTTAGCAACAAACAGCTTGCATTTAAACAAAGTCCTAATTTCCACTATAGAGAAACGCCAGTATGATTGCAAAGTGTTTCCAATGGAAAAAGGTACAAAACATTTATTGCATTATCTCCTTAACACTGCGAGGGAGGGGTAAATTCTCACCTAACTCTGAAGCTCAATAACCATCCTGGAAACATTTTTACTTTAACATAATTATTTACTGCCAAAATTTCTTGGCAACAGGGCAGTAATACAAAGCGCCTGCCAGCCACAAGTCATCTGTGGCAAAAATTAAGAGAGCCTGAATGGGCTTCTCCTTTCTCTCCTGAGAAAAGGATGGGGCTACGGAAGAATGACAAATTAACACTGAAATTAAATATTATCACTATGAGCAAGCCATGCTTTATGACTCTGCAATGAAATTCATGCTTGGAGCGCCGAGAAGAGTAATTGCATTCTGCTACAGTCAAAATATGCTTTGCTGTGGAAGACCTAGGAGTTTGGGACAGTCACTATGATGTGATCACTGTCTACAGTACCTCTGAAGGGAGCACAATTTTGGTAGCGGACTCTTCAAGCCAGTAGACAAGGGTATAATAAAATCCAATGGCTGTGAGAAGGAACTAGACAAATCCTAACTTAGAAATAGGCAGATACTTTAGTAGTAAGACTACTGAAGCTGCTGGAGTAGCCCCTCAGTGTCTGTGGTGAACACTCTGTTACAGAGGGTTAAGATTCCTTCTCCCTCAAAAGACTCAAGTTCAAACAGAAATTAAATCTGGGTAGGTTTATGCTTGAGGCTAGACAGGGGGTTGCAAGGGTTCCTTTTGGCTGCACAATGTATGTGAGGAACAGAAATGCTCACAAAAATCCAACAGGGTTCTATTTCTTTTTAAATACTGAGTTCAACATCACTGCATACAGGGTTTTGAAGGTGGAAAACAGGTAAATCTGGACTTCTTCAACATTAGATGATAACTGAGAAAATGTAATCTACCTTACTATATTTGCTGAGGCTCCATGCTGAATGCCCAATTGTTTTGACATGGAAAATGATGGTTTAGGTATAGCTAATAGATAGTAAGAAAGTTCAGTAGTCAAGAAGCCATTGGCAGAGTGTTAAGATATGGAAGGGAGATAAGATGCTGTTAAAATATAATTTGAGTAACTAGAGTGAGCTGGGAGGCTAAACAGTGCAGTAATACATTATTATTAAGTGGATTAGAACTGAAGAATTCTATTAAAATAAATGCAGTTGATATAAGTCAATCTTTTACTGACCTGTGCTTGTGCACAGACAATATACATAGATTTGATGATTATTCATATGCCCATAAGGAAGCATATAGTAATGATTTATATAGTGATGCAGATATATTCCTATCTTGATAAACATTTCATATTTTGGAGTTTAACTAGATTTTAACCTAGAACTCAAGTGTATGTGAATGCTTGTGGTCTACATGTACATTCACTTCATGTGATTTGCTTCTATTTACCTTCTAGATTTTCTATCTTCGTGCTGGTATTGAAGCAAAATCTGACCCCAAATAACTCAAGGTCATGAGACAAGGCCCAGAAGCTAGCTCTCTGTGGTTTATTTTTTCATGTTTGTCTCTCTGGGGATTTGAGCTAGGCTCAGACAAATGCCAGGTTTTTAGTAGGAAAGATCCCAGTGGAACCGGATTGCCATGGTAGCACAGAACTGTCAGTGGCAGAGGTCCCAAACTGAGCACAGAAGAGGACACATCATATGATACAATATCCTATTTTTTTTTCTTCTAAGTGTAAAATTGTCATGCCAAACCACAAACAAATTGAGTGTCACCTAACTGAATTCATGTTCCCACTTTTCTAGTTTCAGAGGAAAGTATTAAATAAGTTTAGTCATCACAAAACCACTGCTGATCAGAACGGGTATCCAGCTCAAGTAACTGAGCTTCTCCTCATTAGACTACACATCCACTTCCTATTTCTTGAATATATCCTGGTCTTACCCAGTTTTCCCCTCTCTTCATTCTTCTGTGTCCCATATATGACCACCTCCACCACTGCATTATCTTCAGTTATGCTCTCCCGTATCTCATGCCATTATCCCTAACTCCCTCAACTCTCCAGTAATTTATTTGCTTGCAATCTATACAGACAACCTGATACCCAAGCACAGGTTATCTCATGACTCAATTAATAAATCTCTGAAAAAGACAGACTCTGTTTCAACAAATAACAGAAGCTGAACTGCTTTGAGTCAATTATTAGAAGAAGGGAGGATAATCAAAAGAAAGCAGAACTTCTGGGAAGTGTCAGTCTCCAGTGATTTTTTCCAAGATGAGGTTTAGTGCCAATGGAAACATCTCTTCTCTCTACTTGCAACATAACCTCAGTGCTGGCACCATTACTCATGTTGAGTAATACTTTAATATGCAAATAGTCTTACTTAATAAGAAAGACTAGTAAGGATGACAGGACTGATATTATGGCCTAGCAATGATAAATTGTCTGTTAAGTGCATAGCCTGGGCATAAGGGGCAGAATTCTTTTGACCAAGTAGAAACGTCTACATCTGACACCAATGAAAATATATAAGAACTTTTCTTTATATCTTTTCTGGATAGTTATCTCATTCCAGAGTAAATATCTCTCTTTGATCAAATAAATTGCACCCCAAAATATTTATTTCTGTCCACTGATAGAAGACAGCCTATTTTCTTTCACGTAATCAGACACACTGAAGAGATTTCAAGATAGAAGAGGTGAACATCACTCTGTTTTTTCCTCAAGTTTTATTGCTTTGAGGTAAACAGGGACTTAGAGCCACATCACATCCACAGGTATCTGTGGATGGACCTTGCCCATCTATCTGGAAGAAGGGATGTTGCATCCAGAGCACTGGGGATGTCCCTTCGCCAAAGGGGATAGAATGGCTGTGTGTCCTCTTGCTTAACAATTCATGTTAAGCAACATGTGGGATTAAATAAAATTCTGCTATTTATTCCCTCATTAACGCTCTAGCCATGAATGCTAAAAAGATGTGAAATTCATAACTAATTGTGCATTGTAGATTTAACAACAACATCTCAAGGGAGGCTGGCTGAACAGCTTTAAAAGCACTGGGGGACTGGCTGACACATTTTGTTTTCCTGACATTTGCAGTAAGATGCCAATACATTATTTAAAGGATAATTGAAATGGTATGTAATAGCAGGTAAAGACTTCTGGAGTCATTTGGACTGTGAAGCTTATATATACAACTAGAATCCTCTTAAAATAATGACTAGTTCATCATCATCATGTTGTAGGCAAGATGCACTTCATTATTGGAGGCTTTAAAAAAGCAAATTTACAGCTGAAAGAAAATACTGCAACTCAGAAGAATAAATTTGTGGCTAATTACAATATCTGATAAAAAAGTGGAACTTGAGAATGACTGCTTGTCAGTGGATTTTAAGATGAAATATTTGTTACGAGGATCAGTAGTTAATGAAAAATCATTTTCCGCCTTGGCAGGAGAGAATTCCACACAAAAATTTCCAACTGCATGGATCTTCAGCAGAAAAGTGTCAACACAGTGCTCCTCTTCGAATGGTTTTACTAAAGCGGTTTATTCTGAATGCAAACATACTGCTGGTGCCAAACTTTGACAAATATTTGTAAGGCTTCTGTAACCTAATCAAAATACGAAAAGCAAGTGCCTAGAAATTTGACAAATTCGAAAAATTATGAAAAAGGGATAACACTGGACTTGACTGGGTGTGCAATCACAGACCTGAGCCTGCAGGAAGGGGGAGCATAACAGTCTAAAGAAAAAAATCCCACACTGCTCTGTGCGGTGGGATCAAAGAAAACCCTCTGCAAGCCTTGCATAAGCCTAACATGATTAATAGTAAAAAAATTGAGCCAGTACAAACTAATCATAGATACAAGCTGAATAAAGTTTCACATGACAAAACACTGTAGTAAGAAGATGTTCTCAACTCAAATGCAGAAACCGAGAAGAAATACAGTGCCAGAACTGCCTCCAGCTGAATTTTTGTCTTCAAAATGTTCAGGATAACTGGCTGCTAATTAGCATGTTCTTCCCCATCAGAAGAAAATTTATGCCAAACCCGTGCCAAGGCACACATCACTGACATTCAGAGCAAAGGTGTCAGCAGACAGGAGAGTCTCCATTCCAGGAAGCAGAACGAGTTCCTGAAGAGCTCGGCAATTGATCCAATAACTGAAGAAAATCAGGTTTGGAAATGCAGCCTTATAAAAGGCTCAGAAAGCACGGTCAGGACAGAAGTGACTCGCAGGGTGGATCGTTAGTTCCATGCTAAAGAACCATAATCACTCTCATCCTGCAACAGTGCAGCAGGGTGGAAAGCCAAGGAAAGGCCAAGCCAGAGCCTTAGACAGGAGCAGAGGCAGTGCTAGATTCAATATCACACCCTAACCTGTTCCTATTCTGTGCAAACACCCTTCAGACAAAGCTTTTTTGGCTTTCCAGAGTGGCAGGGGGAAGAAGAGCAATTTTATACAGCAAACAACTTGATTTTCTATAGAGGTTGTGCCAGGGATGAAGGCTGAGAGCATCACCAGTACCTGCACACTTGCTTCTGCTTTTGGAGAGCGGCAGGCGACACAGCTGCACTATGGAAAGCAGCAGGGTCCCGAGAGCAGAGCAAAACAGCATGAACTTTCCTGGGAGTTCCCATGGATTTGCTGATTTTTCCCAAGGATCATGGGACATGCTCCCTCCGTGGGCACATAAACTCTTCTCTCCCAAGAGGGGGATGATTCACATGATGCCTGTGGCGTCCGGGCCATGGATAATTTGCCTTTTTTTTTTAACTTCTGTTTATTCATGTATGGATGAGAGGGGCCAATTAAAGTCTCTGAAATAATGAGTTTAGAGTGATATTGTGCCTGGATTGTCT